CCATATTTTTGGCCAATCGGCACTACTTGTGGTTGGTCGGCCATGTATTTGGCCAATTTGACATTTTTGGCTAGCCGACCACTGTGCATCTGCTTTTGCAGATATTTTTATGCCAGCTGTGCTAGCTGGCATACACCTTTGCCCCCCTCCATACACGTGTATGGAGGGATTTCACTCTTACCTAGCTTGTTTTGTAAGCTTTGCAAGAGTGATCCTCTATAAAGAGGAGGCCTCTCCTCCCTCCTCTAGGGTTACAAAAATTCCAGGGAGAGGTCTGAGATTAGGGTTTGAGTCTTGTGTCTATTCTATCTCTATATCTCCCTCCCTTTTGCTCTTTGTATGTGTTTGTCCTTACTATTGCACACAAACACCTAGTTCTACACCTCACCTTGGTTGCTGAGGGGCCAGAGGGTTGTTCTTGAAGTTCTTGTGCTGGTTTCAACCTAAGGAGACTACTGGAGCACCATTTTTGAAGAAAGTCTTCAAGGGTAAGAATCTTGCCCTTTAATACCCCATTTTTGCATAGCTTTTTTGCCTATCTTGCAACTATTTTTAGACTTTGTATATAACTATAAAATTCTTGCTTTTCATTGCTTAAAATAGTTGTGTAAGGGTGTTTTGTTGTTTGGGGTTGTTTGACCCCTCTTAAGCCTTGTTTGGCTCCCATTTTGTGCTATTTTGGTGAACTCCGAGACCACCTTGTTTGGGCCTCCTCACCACTAAAATCTTGAGGGATTTTAGTGGTGAGGATGGTGGTTTAAGGTCCTAAGAAGGAGAGGGCCACCCCCTCTCCTTGTTGTCTTCAATATGTGCCATTTAAGCCTCATGTGTGAGCACCTTTTTTAAGTGCATGTTGGCCATGTCTTAAGTGTTATTTGTGCTTACTATGTCATGATATAACACTATTTTTACTTGGTTTAGACACACCATGCATGCTTAGCATACTTGTCTTGTAATGCCCTAAATTTGCCTTAACATGCTTTAGGCTTTGACCCTTGTTCTAGCATGATTTTGGCCAAGCTTTGTGAAGCTTTTGTGTATGTTTTAGTGTGCTTTAGCTCTGTTTTTAGTTTCTTTGGCCATGCTTGGCATGATTTTTATAGCTACCTTGCATTTTGGCTTGATTGGCCTTGGATGTGTGAGCCTTGGTTGCATGCTTGACTTGTCTTGTTTACTTGGTTTGGCACCTTTTATAACATGATTTCAGAGTTTAGTATGCTTGCCATATGTCCATGATCATCTCATTTAAGTGTGCTTAAAAGTTGTCTCTATATGCTTAAGTGTTGGACCTTGTATGTATGCATGCTTGTATGTGCACTTGGCTCCCATTTTCTTAGAATTTGGCCACTGTTTTGGGCTTGTTTGAGGGCTTCCTAAATTAGTTTAAGACCATCCTTCGCATGTGTTGCATGCTTGCCTTATGTGTTGTTGCATATTTGGCCTTGCTCCATGCTTATTACATTACACATTTGCATGCTTAGGTTGTAATGCATTTGGCATGCATTGTACTTAACATGTTGTCCATGTTGCATCTTGCATGCTTGCATAGTTAAGATTACACTTTGCATGTTTGCTAACTTGTATATTTGTCCTCATGTTCATGTTGCATACTTAGCCTCCATGCCTAAGTTGCAATGCAAAGAGCATGCATGCTTTGCCTCTTGAATTGAGTATGATAGAGGTTGGGCTTTATGTGTTTAATTGGTTTGCATGTCATTTGAAATCGAAATGCACAACTTGGTTTCTTGGGCCATCACGCATTGAAATGCGCGATTGGTGGTCCGAGGGTCAAGTACCATCCTCCTTTGAGTCATAAACATGATAAGGAGTGTGGTTGGTGCAAACATTGCTTGAAATGCATTGCCATGCCATGTTTTGCCCCCTGCTACTGTCAAAACAGATTCTGCAGGAAGATTTGGCCGACCGGCCATATGCAATGCTGACCGGCCATCCATCCGTGGCCGATATCTCAATCAAAGGCCGGCGGTCATTCTCCATGGCCGGTGGAAAATCCCCTTAGCCGGTGATGTTCCGAAGCATTCAGAGAAGCAACCCTGGGACTTGTGCAGTCTTCAGAGGAGGATAACATAGCTCCATGTATGGTCGATGACCACCCTGCCATGGCCGGTGATGATTCCCCTTGGCCGGTGTTGTTCCACAGTGTCCAAAGAGTGTACCTTGGGATTTGTGCAAGTCTCAGAGGAGCAGAGCAGGGTAAACAAAGGCAGCTTGCGCATGGCGACGGATTTTCGAACAAACCCAAGCACGCATGCATTGGACCCTCTTCCCGAGGTGTTTTATCGCTTTCTTTACTTAATTGGTTTTTTAATTAATTAGGTGGTCTGTAAATTATTTAATTAGCTTGTAGGTTAATTAAATTATATTATTCTTTTGGTCCCTCCGAGCGAGGGGAAATTTGTAATAAGTGTGGGTGCGTGTGTGCATGTCTTCCAACCCCCACTTCTTTCTCCCTTTTACTTACCTGCTTTGATGGTTAGTATTAGGACACGTTTAATTTAACATACCTCATGCTATGCATGCGTGCATCATTCATCAGTCTTGCATGCACTGAGCTCGGCGCATCATACTAACTGCATAGTATTTCCATTCCAACTTGAATACGTGTATCGAGTTGTCGCATTTCACATGCCATTCTTAGATTAGCCGAGCCTATTCTAGTTGCATTCTATATGTGTTGCATTAGCCATTTTAACATGAACTAGGATCATGTATGATTACTAACTAGTTCATTATTTTGGCACGGAGTACGATGTAAGTATTTATGCTTTAGCATCTCGCATGAGTGTGAATGTTAACATGATAGCATGCTTACCATGTGGCTATGTGCTTATGTGATATTACTGCCTGAATGCCTGTGGGTGAAGGTTGGATTGTTTGAGTTTGAACAACTCATTGAAATCCGTGTTTTAGCCTACTCGTGAGTAGCAAATTTCAAATCATTTTCCAAATAATGCTTTGTTCCAAATTAAACGGTCTAGTCTATACTTGTTTGCTGTGCGCATCACATAGTAAGATTAGGCTAATAATCGGAATAAGAGCACATAATATTTTCAAAACTAGATATCATGGTTAGTAGAGGCCGATCTTCGGATCGGGCAAGAGGGGGTGCTCATAGCTAACCTTCCCCAATCGTACCCAAGTTCCCAAGCCGAGGCAACTTTGGTGATGACGGACACGTGGCCTTAGGCAACGAGTCAGAGTTTCCTAAATTTCCCAAAATAAAATATTTAGGTGGTGACTCTGTATCTGGCAAAGCAGTCCATGTTTGGCACTTCTTTTCTAAAAATTTGTTTTCCCAAAAACGATTTGCCGGATTTGGACTCTTTGGTTTAGATTAAGAACCGCGACAATTTGAGTCTGAACTGTAGCGAGCCCAAAATGAACAGAACGGGATTCATCCTCCCAGGACGTTCGGGGACGTCCACACAAGGCAGTGTGATACCCCAAGTCAATCGAATATATGCCTTTTGATTCATAATGCCAAACTTGAGAATCTTCCATAGGGGCCAAAGCAATAAGGATAAAGGTAATAGCTTGTATCTCAGAGTCACATCCAGTTTCCAGCTTTTGTTTGTATTAATAGCATCCTCCATTCTCTCAGTCTCGTAACCCACAGGTTTCAAAGAGGTTACTCCAAAATCAGGATGAGAGGGGACCTATGTTTCATCCCAGAATCAAATAAAAGACCCACAGTTAACTTGCCACCTCACACATTCTTTTAAAATTTCCCTTTCCTGGAAGATACTTGTCTATGCCCATGAAGCTCAGTGACCCTTGGTTGTGTGCATAAAACTAGAATGAGGAAAATAAACGCCTTTCAAAATTTAAGCACTGAATGAATTCAGATATTTAATTAACCTCCATCCTTGTCTTGCTAGCAATGCCAAATTGAACTTATTGAAATCTCTAAATCCCAGCTCTCTTTCAAATTTTGACTGCACCAGTTGATCCCAACTAACCCAGTGGATCCCTCTAACATCAAGATCCCCTCCCCACCAAAACCTACAAATATAGGAATTCCATTTAGTCCAGAACCTTTTTGGGAAATCAAAACAAGCCATAGCATACAAGGGAATCGTCTGTACTACCGCCTTTATCAAAGTTTCCCCTTGCAACTTGCGAGAGCAATTTCATCTTCCAACCCTGAAGTTTTGACACTACTTTTTCAATGAGAAACTCATAGGCCTCCGGCTTTGACCTTCCCCTAAATGAGGGCAGCCCCAAGTATCTTGCATTTGAGTGTGAAACTTTAAGACCAGATATAGCACAAATGGAACTACACAAATTTGGGGGGACGTTGGAGGAGAATTATACTCTCGACTTATCAAAATTAATCAATTGTTCTGATGCTTCACAATAAGTTGACAAGATTTCCAAAACTTTTTGACATTTAGAGACATCAGCCTTTAGAAATAGAAGCATTGCCTTGCAATCTTGAATCCAGAAATTTGCCTTTCTCTAAGGTTCTTAGGGAGAAGATTGAAGAGTACATCTGCAACCAAAATAAAGAGATACGGAGATAGAGGATCCCCTTGGCGAAGCCCACGGGTGGGAATAAAAGAGGCCTTCTTCTCGCCATTAGCACAGACTGAAAAGCTTATAGTTGATACACATTCCATAACCCATTGGACCCACATCGAATGAAAACCCATCTTCTTCAAGACTGCAGCCAAGAAATCCCATTTTATTCTATCATAAGCTTTATTGAAATCAAGTTTTATAGCCATGTGACCAACAGTCCCTACCTTCTTCAATTTCAAAGAGTGAAAAGCTTCATGAGATACTAAGATATTATCTTGGATCATCCTCCTAGGAATAAAAGCTGACTGGCTTGGAGAAATTAGGAGACCAAGGACTTTTTTCAGACGATTAGCCAGAATTTTGGTAATGATCTTAACACTGAAATTACAAAGACTAATTGGGCGAAATGTGATACCTTTGAAGGGCTACAACCTTTGGAATCAATACCAAATTCATTTTATTTAGCTCTTTAAGTATGTGCCCTTCCACAAAAAAGCTTCGAACAACTTGACAAACCTGGTCGCCCACCACATCCTAATTGGATTAGTAAAAGAACCTAGGAAAACCATCTAGCCCAGGTGATTTAATAACACCTCGCTAGAAAACAGCAGTTCGAACTTCTTCATCAAACGGTTCATCACTTCTGTCACAAGTGGTTGAACCACAGAGAGGGCTTTACTAAAATTTCTATCCCCTTCACTTGAAAACAATTGAGAGAAATAATCAAGCAAGTGGCAATTTTCTCTAATTCTGAATCCATCCAACCTCCATTCTCATCTTATAGTCGAAGGATTTGATTTCTCTGACAATGTTGAATCATGGTGGCATGAAAGAAATTGGAGTTTTTATCCCCATAATTTAACCATCTGACCCTGAACCTATGATGTAGGTACATTTCTTCTCTTGCTAGCAAATCTTCCCATTTTGATTTGATCAGATATTGAAATTCAAAATTTTTATCAGAAAACGGTTGCGATTGGAGATATACCAAATCAACTTTCAAACGAACGATCTGAAGTTGAAAACCATGTTTGTGCACAAAGGAGGTGATTGAGCCAAAAACTTAATTCAATGTACCTATTGTGTTTGCCAAATCTAATAACTCAATCTTGCATATGTCATCTACACAATATTGTAATAATCAAGTAAAACACGAAAACACAACAATATACATGGAAAACTATTGGGAAAAACAATCCCGACACAACCTATTAGATACAATATTAGTTATTAAATGTTACTTCATTGCTTATCATCTTCACAACCAAAATGTGATAAATAAGGAATTATAGTGGTTTGAATAATTAAATTTTCTACTTGTAGAACAAATAAAAATTCTTACAAATATACTTATTGTAGAGTTGGGATTAGAATGGAATCACTATATCCAATATCTTAAAGAATAGATAACATGCTTTTTATGAGGTAACTCGTCCCAGTCCTACCCCTGTAACGACAAAAGTACAATCCTTTGTAATGTCTTAATAAACTCAAACATTATTCCTTTAAAATAAAGAAATTCAAAAGAGAAAGAATAGAAAACAAAAAATCATACAAATATATTTGTCACTTCAATCTCAACCTCAAAATCTATCGAGGATATAACTCAGTAATTGAAGCTTCATTATCTGACATATGGATAAATTTACTTTTTGATTGACTGAACTCAGATACCACATAATTATTCTCTTGGAGTAATGGTATCTCTGAATTGATGGTAC